CAAGTATTTTTGTCTTGGAACGCCACTGCTTAAAAATTTCAAACCGCGCGGGAGCAAGATTTTTTCAAAACAATTTATTTATTTGATATCAGACGAGAAAACGGGAAACTAAACGCTGATAAAATATATAAAACGTCCAACAAGGGACAATATGACTGAAGAAATAAATCTGGAAAATACAGTATTTGGCTTATGCCATGAAACGGTAATCAAAACTCGGAGTTGGCTTTACAGTTAGGACTGCTTAAGCGGGGTTTTAATGCTGAATTTTATTCAGCATAATCCCAAGATGCTCAAATCACTCCGGGATGCCAGGTAGTGCAAACTTTAGGTGTTTGTATCAGCGTCCTTGGGTAGCTCTGGATGGTAGGGCCGCAGTATTTGAAACAATTCCTTTTTTGCGGCCGGTGACAATTTCGCCCTCAGGCAGAAGTCCTGCAACTCAATCAGGAAGCACCTGCCTCCCACCGTGTCCGCTGCCTGACTAATTTCTGCGGGTTCTGCGTCTACTAGTAAATAACAGTTATAAAATTCCTACTCATAGAAATCTCCGGGCTTAGTTCAGGCATTTCCAATTCTGGTGATCGGTTGACCACCGACGACATTGGCAGAAGGGAAGGTTCCCCCATCTCAGCGTCATATGCCTTCCTCTGGCGCACAATCCGCTTGTAGATAGTGCTCAGATGAAAGCCGTAATACTTACGTTTCTTCATTCCTACAAGCCGAAAATAAAAAAAGATATATGAACTGCAATTCCAACAGATGATAATGAGTTAATAGATCTGAAATAAACGTAAAACAAATTATTAATAGCATAACATACACCATAAAGGTGTAATGCACACGAGATAAACGCAGAATGACGTACCAAAGGGTCATAATTGTTAGCTGGGTGAAAAGACTGCAACGATTAACACGAATGAAATAACAGTAGTATGGCTTCTAATCGCCCACTTAATTATAACTTCCCAATCAATTAATATAAATCCATCAGTATTACCAATCTATGAGGCTTCCTGGCATTTCCTAGAGGAATTGCTATTTATTTAGAAAGAAGGCGGTATGCATTTACGTAAAAGTGGTCATTTCAACTATTCGAAGATTTTCCGAATATTTTCTAAATAAGGCATGGCTATGGCCTCGTCTTGTACTGCCTGACTCCACCCCCTAGGTGGGGCCACATATTAGCAGGGGAATGGGCTTCTTCCAAACTGTCTGAAGAAAATCCACAATTGACGGAAAATGACTATTTAAGCAATATGCATAGTTTTTAGTGATTTCCACGCCCCTGTAAACTAAACCATAGTTTGCAAAAATCATAAAAATATTTGTACCTGCATTACCTTTGTCAAAATTTTTATATTCGACAAATTTTGCAATGAAAGAAATAGTCAATTCGCATTTAAAATCTTTCCAATTATCCAATGAAGGCTGAACCGACCTGCAGTTCCGCCGATGTTCCGGGTTTTTGAATAACGTGTTAGATACTTTCCTTGTCAGGAACATCATAAGTGTCCTAACAATATTAAGAAGTCACATATGGGGTTCAGCAAATTTTCCAATTGAGGACAACCATGTTTCAGATGTCATAAACAACATTAATAAACGTAAGGATACATCGTGGTGTGAAGGGCTATTTAACGTTCCTTATAATCTCCCAACTCGAACACTTTTTATAAGCCGAAACTTACCCTTAATTCAAATTGAAGTTTTACATAAGACTAGTGCCTTTGTAAGTGAGTACAAGAAAGACTATTTTCTTATTTTTTCTATAAAAACGAGATGCACTTATAGGGAAATGGACATAACTAATACACACTCTTTAAAGGTCCATTCTTTTACGTGTTGGTTTGCAGACGACTTAAAAGTAACCCACTCAATGGCCGGCATCCAGGTGGGACTGAAATATCTCGCGACTGCACCGCATGAAAGCAATATAGCCACCCTACTCAGATGATCCCCTCTAATAGAGGACCAATTTCGGAATTTAAGCTACCATTTCATTCAAGAGAACACCTACTATAATTATGCACAAAGTGGAGAGAGATGCTGGGAGTAGGCGCAACTGTGAGGACGGCCGGCAGCATTGAAAGCGGCAAATAATCAAGCCTCTTCTCCAATACATTCTTACAATAGCAGGGCAGTCCATTTTCATCCATACCCGTCCCCAGGCTCCGGGCGACATTTCCCTCTTAAAGCCCTCACACATGTACATTTCCCCATTGAAACCGGCAAGGCAACGAACTTGTGGCTCAATGGGTTAGAGCGCAGGAATTCTCAACAAAAGGTCCCAGGTTCGAGCCTCGGGTGGTGCATCATCTGGGGTTGGGCATGACTGACTGTTGACAGCAAATAAGTCAGAAATGGTCACTCCAGTCTTTCTCGGTAATGTCCTTCTTCCTACATTATGCTCAGTTCAAGTGGGACATTTCGACAGTCGCGCAGCAGGACGCTGTGGGATATACGCTGAAAAATTACTTATAATGAAACAGAATTTCGCACCTCTACCTCAATCCCACATGTTATTTTCGGCTGAACAAGTTTGAAATCTTTCATGTCCATTCCCATCGACTTGCTACGAGACTTACATACGATTTTTCCCCTTTTCCAAAAGCTGCTCCCTTTCCAGATCCGCGTGTCTGTCAAAGCCCTTTGCCTAAGAATGCTGGCCACCCTCGACCCTTTCCGTTCGAATGCACACACGTGCCAAAAACAACCCCCAGCTGTGGTACTGGAATGCACCACCTCCCCCTTTCTCGACCAACACAGCAACGCTGCCTGATAACCAGCAATTTTCTGACCTGAGAACCCGTCCCCCCGGTTGGCGCAGCAGTTAGCAGCGAACTACTCTAACACCCTCTCCTGCGGACACTTTATATTGCTTCTGCACACGAAAACCCCCTTTCCCGCTGGTGTTTCGGACCAATCGGATGCCACGTGAACTGGCTCCTGAAGTCACATAAACCAGCGGTCGCCTCCTCTCCCACCGACACACACTTTCCCAAGACTAGCTTCACTCGCTACCCATTTTTCGTGGTTGAACACGCGTTGTCTCCTGGTATAGTCAAGCGATTTGTCGCACTCTCTTGTTCTTGATTGCGTGTACCCATTGTTGAGGTTTGTACTTCGTTTATCCTTTACTATTTGCTTAATAGTACAGTACCACACTGATAGCTGTTATTTTTGGTGTTTGACGTACGCGTTACTGCTGGACACTGAGTCGGAGGAGTAAAGAAACACAAATCAACACATCTACTGTCTCCTGATGGCTTGGCATAGACGCAGTAATCGCTGAAGCTAAACAGCCCGCCAACGCGCACGATCCTCGACCAGCTTCCTGCTACACATTTACCAAGATTCATTACAGGGTCTCGAATCGTAGCTAAATGAAATCTTGATAAAAATCACAGCAATAGGGGGTCATTGCAACCCGTCCACGCGTTCCTTGTAGGACCGAGATAACCTGTCAATTAGCAAACTCCCAAGCCACGATTCCAAGCGTGTCGCCCTTTCCGTAGTGAAACATGACCTAAGTTGTCATGGCACAGGTACCCTAATATCACGTACACCTTCTTCTTGTCTAAATTCTCGACAGATTACTAATAAGACTAGACGCAGATAATAGTGTTGAAACATGTTGTAGCATACTACAAGCACACCGGACAATAATTAAAGCTTCACGTAGATTCGGGATCTCATGTAGCAAAAAGTCGTTCCAGGGCGTCTGAGTGAGGGAGGGACGGAGGATAGACAGGGAGCCAGCCAACGTACATCATGAGACCCTCTGATGATTACCGACAGCGGTCAGGTGAACGTTCATCAACGAATACCTAGATAGGTTATTCAAGCTAGTAATTTCAGTAATAGAAGGTAACGCCCGGGTCAAACTGTAGGCATCGCGATGATTATCATATGCAACATGGTCGAGAATTTTTTTCAACGGCAACAGGCAATGCAATAAACAAAAGTATAAACATAACCGAACTCTCAGAATCGCAAAAATTGCAGTTAAGGATGTACGTAAAGTAGTGAAATTTTTATTTAAAGCATACAAAAAATCGGCTAAACTCTCAATGAAAAAACGGATTGCTATAACCAACGAAAGCCATTGAGACAATTAGCAAGGCAAAAACAGGGCGCGAAGGTAGGAGAAGGGAAGTTCGATCAATGCCGATAGCTTCCATGTTGAGATTCTGACACAACTGCCCCGTCCTAAGACTTTCATTACTTTAAGTAAAACGAGAAGATAGCATTTGGATAAAGAATATAATTGAGGACAGCAATAAGCCCAAAGCAACGCACATCGGGGCAGCAATCATTGAAGAAAGACACAGGTGAAGTAAATATCGAGAAAAAAAGAGGGAGGGGGGACGTCAACGATACCAGTCTAGAAAATGCAAAGAAAAGGTGAGCACGAGCATGAAGAAGAGGATCCAAAAGCGGACGCCCTTGGTTCGATCAATGGCCTCACGGAGCTTTTCGTTAGCCTCACGAATCAGTTCTGTTGAGCCGACGATTTGTTCCCCTATCCTCTCCGCTTTCTAAAAATATAAAGAAGATCAATACGGCACAAGAGGAGCCGAATTCATAGAGCAAGTCAAAAGCCCTAGACGCACCTCAGCCTGCTCGACCAGACTCTCCGTAATGATGGACTGCAGTCTCCCGATTTCAGACAGCGAAGTTCCCAACTGCTGCACCTCCGACTGTTCGGATACCAAACGCAGATACATCTCAGCATTTTCGGTTTCGAGGGCTTGGAGCTCGTTGGGGTTGAGGTCGTCGCTGTCGACAGCCTCAACTGGGCTGACTGTGGGCTCCGTGGAGAGCCAGCTCTGTCCTCGATGTCGGACGGCAGAGGTGGCCC